CTCGATGACCAGGGCCAGGGACTGGGAGTGGTTGATGACCTCCAGCAGGGTGAAGATGGACACGTTCTGCACGTAGCAGTCGCTCACACAGCAGCAGATGGTCATCAGGGACCTCAGCCACAGCGGGAAGCTGGCATCACCACCTCCTCGGAAGGGAAGGGAGAGAAAAGGTTGGGGGGGTCACATTCCCAAAAATTCTCCGGTCAAGGTCACAGGACCGAGAGACAGAAATGACTTCCTAAATCCTAAACCATGCTGACCTTGTCAGTGTTTCATAGAATCAGAGTTTGAGTTGGGAGGGACTTTAATGATCATCTACTCCAACCCCCTGCCATGGGCAGGGACACCTTCCACCAGCCCAGGTTGCTCCAAGCCCCGTCCAACCTGGCCTTGGACACTTCCAGGGATGGGGAGAGCACAACCTCTCCATGTTTTCCCTACTTTTCCCATCAGGAAGGTCTTGCAGGACCCCAATAACCCGGTAACCAGCGGTCAGAGCTGCTGTTTTCCAGCTGTCACTGGCACAGCCAACTCCAGAGGGCTGCTGATCCGGGGCTGTTTTCCCAGCAGCGTGGAGCTGGATCATTCCAGAACCCACCAAGCACACAGGGAACTGGGATGGCTGACATCCAGACAAGCCATCTGTGCCTCTCCTGAGGGAATAATGCCAAGCAGAACAGCTGACCCGTGGAGATGATGGGAATATCACCACTTGGCTGAGGAAGACAGCAGAAATGGGGAGCGGGGTGAGGAAGAGAACCCAGTTTTCCAGTTTCTATCCCCTCTCCTATTCCCTACAAACCTATCTGTCAGCTGGCCTTCAGGCCAATGACTAAAGCTAAGGAATGGGCTGGAATTCCAAGGACAAACAGGCCCTCCAGTTATACAAGATTATTCCTACATGTTACACCGGACTCCTTTGAATTTGGAATCTTTAATTCACAGGGAACTTCAGCCCTGTCAAAAGGTTTTCTTACTGGCCCTGGTCAATTGGCTTTGCAAAATCCCTAAGCTTTTTTTAAAAAAAAAGTCTTTTCCACTGCTATTTCCATCCTCAAAGGCTCAAGTTGCCCAGGAAAGGAATCTCCTCTTACCAGGAGCCTCAAACAGAGACAGATACAACTGTTCCATCTCCTCCTCCGACAGGTAGACCGGGAATGTGGTGCAATCCAGCAGGAGGTGACAAGCTGCAGAGAAAGCTTCCTTGCAGTCACCTTTCAGGGGTCCCAAGACCAGCATCACTTGTTCCAAATCCCACTCTTCTTCCTCTTTTTCCTTCTTATTCCCGGAGTCGTGGGTGGGGAGCAGAGGGTCGGAGCTCTTGTTCCTGAAGGGAGAGCCCCTGGCTGAGAACAGCTCTGAGAGCATTTGTTTCACCTGAGGCACAGTGATCTGCTTGCCATCCCAGGGGCTCTTTTTCTTGCTGCCACTCTCAGGGAACCTGTACCCATTCTCCTTCCTCTCCTTCCCACCGGGATTCGTCGCCGCCGCCGCCACCACGCCCTCGTTACTCGTCTCGTGGAGCTGCACCCCGAAAATGTATTTGCTGGAAAACTTGGCAACCAGCTCCTGGATGCAGGACAGAGCCTTCTGGATGCTCCCCCCTTTCTTCCAGACGTCATCCCTCTCCAGGGTCACCGTGGGCACCCCCAGGTGCTGGGAGAGCTCCGGGGAGGAAGCGCTCAGGCCGATCCCGCTGTCCTCTGATTTGAGGGGCTGGAATGGAGCCTCCTCCTCCTCCTCCTGCAGCACTGATTTGGGCTCCAAGGTTATGTCCACATCTTCCTTTGGCACTGGGCTCTGGAAACAGGAATGTCCATGTGGTTATTGTGTGGCACTGCCAACAGAATGTTAAGCCGGGGAACGGCAGCGACAGAAAAATCTGCTCTCTGAAATCTGCAATTTCCAGCTACTTTTACAAAACCACAGGGTCGCAGTTATTTGTCAGCAGCGCCATTTAACTGCCTTTAAAACCCAACAGCCGTTTGCACAAACCTCGTGCCTGGACTCGGCAACCGCCAATGGATCTGTAGCTGCAAGCACTTAGCAGAGGAATTATTTCCTTAAAATCAATGTACCACCAGAACAATGCTGCAAACCCCTGGATTATTTCCAGCCCAAGGCAGGCATTTGTTCTGCTGGAAAACTCTGGCAGGCCGTGCTTGTGTGGTTGCCTGATGCCATTTACCCCTCAGTCCTCGTCATGGGCTTTTGCACACAAACAATACCCCCATTGTGTTCAACTGAAATGTTAATTGAGAGCCCTGCAGATCTAACCAGCTGTGAAGCCTGGGCTTGGTTTGGCCACTCCAATTTTTAGCTACACTTCCAGGGATCCAGGGGCAGCCACAGCTTCTCTGGGAATTCCATCCCAGGGCCTCCTCACCCTCTTCCTAAAATCTAATCTAAACCCATCCTTCAATTGGAATCCATTGCCCCTTTTCCTGTCATTCAATGTCCTTGGGAAACACTCTCCATCTTTCCTGTAGGCTCCCTTCAGGCACTGGAGGAACAGTTGTTATTATTATCTAGGTTTAAGTTCAGAGAATTTGCATTTTAAAGAAGTTATGTCAGTGTTTTAAACACCTGTTTAAACAAAACACCTACCCCATCTCCACTCCCTGTCTCGATGTCCAGGTAGGAAGGGGGCATTTGCACCTTGCTGAGCACCTTAAAACAGGTCTTTAAGGCCTGAGTGAGTTCTGGCAAACTCAATAATTCCATGTTTTCCAGGAGAGACTGCACCATGTAGCTGAGCATCTGGGGCAGGTACTGAGTCTGCACTTCAGAGTAGAGCTCCTAAAACAAACCAAAAGCAAAAGTTGAAAACAGTTGTCACCTCTTATCCTTCACTCATCACCGCTGGAGAAAGTCAGGGGGGCCTCACCAGAGGGATGACATCGAGCAGAAACACCAGCAGTGTGCAGAGCTCTGAGATTGTAGGGGGAGTGCTGACATTTTCCAGGGGATATCTCATCCCTGAGGATTTGTTTCTGCAGTGGAAGGGAAGGCACATTGTTATGGAAGCTTTTCTAGTCACAGTCATTAAAAACCAGCACAAAACACTGAGAAGCTTTCTGGAGAAAAAGGAATTGTGACACAGCAGGATAAACCACCCTGTCAGAACCACCTCAGCTGCCAGTTTTCAGGTTAAATCTCTATTCATAATCTTATTACTGAAAGCATAATCTTTCTTTAGAGTTTAAAAGGGTTAAAAAGAGATAACAGAGAATCCCAGAATGGTTAGGCTTGGAAGGGACCTTAAAAGATCATTTAGGATCTTTATTTTTCTTCAATAAAGGCCTTTCTTCCTACCTTCCCTCCCAATCCTTTTTCATCCTTTTGAGAGTAATTTCTTTTGTTCTCAGGTTGATAATTTCCATCTAATTGTTCACCTGTTTGCATTCTTGAATTATCTTATACATCTGGCTGGTTCTAGCACGTGTTACATCCCTTCCAGAATTTAAAAGCTTCATTATTAATCTTAAACAGACAGCTCTGGAATGGCATTTTTTTAAAAGGAGGACACTACTGCTGGAAAACACAAACACCTGAAACAATCTTCAAAACATCTGGTCATGTAATCCCAGAGGAAATCCGTGCTCAAGGACGTGATCAGCAGATTGACTGTTTTGACAATCTCAGAGGCGTTTTTGTTCTCTTTGATTGCGCTGTTGGAAAGGGAAAGGAAGAGCAGGTGTCAGTGAGGATTCCAAGAGCAGACACATCATAAAAAAAAACCCACTAAATCAGCCTGAAATAGCTGGAGTTGGAGCATTTTTTTCTCCCCTGATGATGGAAATCCAGCTGTGGAAGTCAGCAGGCAGAGTTGTGTCACCACCCACCCTGATTCTTGGCTGATGTCACTGTGGTCACTCAACCCCCACCACAAGCAGTGAACTTCTTTTTATTTCTCTGCTAATGCAAGAGAAATCCACTCATTGTGGGGGAAAAAAGGGGAAGCCAGACAAAAATCTCATCTACCCCCTAGAAGGTCACTTTGTTCCACCCCAAACCTTCCCTAAACTGCTTGATTTTAGTAACTTTGGCTTAATATCAACCAACCATTTTCAGCTCAGGGTGGAAAAGTCGCCACTGTTACCTGGCCAGGGTGTTGCCACTTTGATTGTAGCTGAGTTTGAGGTCAGAACCCAGGGCATCTTTGCAGTAGGAATAAAAGGCTCTGAGAACCTCGAGGAACAGATCCCCAACCACCTGTGGGCCTGCAAGGGAAGGGAGAAAGAATCCAGGGATTTTAATGGCATGGAAAGGCAGAGAACAAGTTCTACACTGCACTTCAGTCACTGGAATGAGGCACCTGCAGTAACTTCTACATCAATTTGCAGTTCATGTGCCCAAAACGATCTCCATGTCTGTGTCCATAAGAAAAACAAGCAGATTTCCCAGCACATATTTTATTTATCACAGTGGCTTTGCTCCCATTTGGAGGGACAGCAGCTGGGAAAAAAAAGAAATCAGCAAACTGAGGGAGTTCAAATGCCTAAATATCTAAAAATCCAATATCTAATCCCAAATTTAATATCTAACATCAAATGCCTAAATATCTAAAAATCTAATGCCAAACCTAATATCTAACATCAAATACCTAAGTAACTGAAAATCCAACACCTAATTCCAAATCTAATATTTAATATCAAATGCCTAAATAGTTAAAAAAATAAATAATAAAAATGCCTAAATATCTAAAATAAAGAGGCTTAAGAAGAAAGTGTAAGTTAGGAGTGTGTGCTGGCAGCTGCACCTGATTTTCAAGGGTCAGTCCTGCTTTGTAATAATTAATGTAATTAATAATGTAATAATAACACTACCCTAAATTTGGAATAATTAAAAAAACTACTGTATAGGACATTGCAACAAGTGCTTCTAAAAAAGGAAAAAAAAAAAGTGACCAAGAGCAGCAGAAAAGGTCAAAAATTCTTGTTATGTTTTAGTTTGACACCTTTAAATCGGAGTTGCATTTGCTAAATCCACTCCCAAAGGAAGTTAAAGTCTTATTGGCTTAAGGCTCTAGAAGTTTTATTTCGTGTGCTGGCTGGGACAGAAAGATTAAACTGGATAATGCAGTTTAGGTAAATATCCCTTATTTAAAAGGGATTTATAATCCCTTCTTTGCCGTTCAGATTAACCCTGAGTTGTCACTCGGCCAAGTAACACACGCAGTGAGGGAGTGTCTGTTATCTACTCTCTAAATTAATCAATTCATAAATATTACACATTTACAGTGTAAACAACCTTAGTCTCTTTGGCATTTTTGGCAGTGAAACAGAAGAAATTTTAATGGCAGTAGATTTCTTTTTTCCCCCCTAAAAAACAGCCCAAACCCACCTAAAACAAGCAGGAGGGAATGTTGGCACCACTGCCTTTTATAAACAGACCAACAACTCCTTTTCCTGAGGTACCTTAGGTTAGAAATACAGAATCCTCATCTTTGCTGGCAGTGCTTTGATTATTTTTTAGCAGGAAATGTGCTTAGAAGGAATTCCCTGACGAAGGGAAGGGGAATGAGCTGCCACTCAAGTGCTCACTCTCAGCACGTGAGTTTTACTCTGAGTGTCCAGGCTCAATCAACATCACTCCCCTCCCAGAAGGCTTTTAAATCCTAAATATCTCTCGAGTCACTTTGGATTAAGTCTTCATCAGAAAGGTGAACTTGCCTTTTAAAACAGGAGTGGGTAGAGGGTCACCTTGTGGTGATGGCAGCTCCAGGGACAGGGAACAGGAGAGCAGCAAAATAAACTCCAGGCAACAAAACTGAGCAGAGTATTGAGCCAAGGGCAGAAGGGGTTCTTTGTAACTGCCCCTCTCAGATGGCAGAGCAGGGCACAGAAACACAGAATCACCGAGGCTGGAAATCCCTTAAGGATCACCCCTAATCCCTGTCCCCAAGGGCCACACCGGACACCTCTGGAGCGCTCCCTGAGATGGTGAGTCCACCACCTCCCTAGGACACTTATTGTGAGGCCTGACCACTCCTGCAGGGAAAAATTGCCTCTGATCTCTGATCTAAACCTGCCCTGGGGCAGTTTAAGGCCATTTGGTTTTGTCCTTTCACTTGGGATGTGGCAGAAGAGCCCAATTCCTCCCCGGCTCCCCCCTCCTGGCAGGGATTGCAGAGCCAGAAGGTCCCCCCTGAGCCTCCTTTTCTCCAGGCTGAGCCCCCCCAGCTCCCTCAGCCCCTCCTGCTGCTCCAGCCCCTTCCCAGCTCCCTTCCCTTCCCTGCACACGCTCCAGCCCCTCAGGGTCTCTTCCAGGAGGTTCCAGAACTGGACACAGCCCTGGAGGTCCCTCAGCAGTGCCAGCACAGGGGACAAT